GGGGGGGGGGGGGGGGAGCGGCATGGAAAGGACAGAGTCCTAGGCTCCTGGGTCTACAGGAGCAAATATATTGGTGTCCTTCCCTTGCTCACTTCCCAACATATAGAGGGCTCCTTTATTTTAAACAAATTATTGATCTGAGAAAGAGAGGGGGAGGGGAGAGAAAACATGGATTTGTGATTCCACTTGTTTATGCATTCATTGGTTGATTCTTGTATGTGCCCTGATTGGGGATAAAACCCACAACCTTGGTGTAACAGGACAGTGCTCTAACCAACTGAGCTACCCAGCCAGGGCCACAGGGCTTCTTTTTAACCAATCCTTATGCCAATGTGGCTGATGTTGATGGGGAAAATAAGACATTTCTTGGGGGGGGGGGGCGATGACTAGCAATCTGAAATTGTGCCAGTAACCTAATGTACATTCTTTTTTTAAAAAATATATTTTATTGATTTTTTTACAGAGAGGAAGGGAGAGGGATAGAGAGTTAGAAACATCGATGAGAGAGAAACATCAATCAGCTGCCTCCTTCACACTCCCTGCTAGGGATGTGCCCGCAACCCAGGTACATGCCCTTGACCGGAATCGAACCTGGGACCCTTCAGTCCGCAGGCCAACGCTCTATCCACTGAGCCAAACCGGGTAGGGCCCTAATGTACATTCTCAATAACCTATAATTAAGTCACTGCCCCTTTCCCAGAAACTGGTCTTGCAAGACCTGTTGCCTAAATGCTCTCATCTTACAGAGGCCATAAACCATGAGACAGCCCCCGGAGGGGGGTTATCAGCGCTGGTGCCAGGCCAGGCCCTTAGGTATGGTCTCAAGACCCCCAACACCTGGGGCTTTTTGCAAAGCCTGACAAAGATCCGGAAGTATAATCCATATTTGGGGGACAAAGACACCAAACGGGGATAAAAGAGCGGCTTCCACCATATTGGTTTGCTCAAAATTTGAGAGGCAACCTCCTCTGTATCTGCCAGTGTAATAAAGCTGTGTAACTCCATTTCTCTACGCGTTGCTTGGTTTTTCTCCTGTCTCCTATAACAAGGTAAACTGCCAAGGAAACAGGGCACAGGGGCAGGGGTCAACTCTGGAAATGGCTCACATGGATGCTCCTACCCTTTCCCAGCCCTCTGCTTTCCATACATTGGTTGTTACCGTCTTATGTTATTCAGAGCTGGTCCATATGCCCAAGGGGCAAGCACACATGTGTGTGCACTGGCACCCTCACTCAGAACTTTAAAGTCGGTTGAGGCACAGGAAGTTTCACAGATTCTGAAAATCTCTTGACATACAACTTTGCTCAGAAGAAAAAAGAGGACACTTGTGCCTATGAACTTGCTTTTAAGAAGTAGTTATATTGTACACTGTGTTCATAGCAGTATTATTCACAATAGCTAAACATAGAAGCAACCCAAGCGCCGATCCGCAGATAAATGGAAAAGCAAAATGTGATTTTATTTATATATATATGTATATATATATGTGCATATATATATATATATACATACATACATACATACACACACACACACAATGGAATATGATTCAGCCTTAAAAAGGGAGGAAATTC